GAAGGAGGGAAAGTGATGTTGGGGCTCCTGCTGGTGTCTCTCTGTGTATAACAAAGCCTGCTCCCCCTCTGATCACATCACTCACACCCTTTAACCCCCCCCCCCCCCCCCCGATCTCTCCTCTGTCCCCCCCGATCCTCTATAATCCGCCTTGTATTGGTAGTATTGATGAAATGTTCTCCCACCCGCCAAAACATTCCCTCCACCATCTTGTGATCCCGTGATGGGGGAGGGGAGGTGAAGTCTGCGGGTGTACTCTGCCTCTTTCTATACTTCATAACCCCATTCATACACATCCTCTGACACTCTTCATATGTTGGAATATTTTTATGGTTTATAATCGAAGTGTATATGGAGAGACTGTGGGGGAGGGGGGAGTCTCGGCTGTCTGGTGTATATTGATAACAGGCTGACCCTTCCATGGACATTTCTTTCATTATACACAGCTTTAGTATCTGCTCAGGCCTTTAACAAATGTCTTTTTATTTTTCTACTTATTAGATTGTAAGCTCCATGAGCACAGCCTTCTGTATTGTAATTGTACTACCCCCCCCTTTGTATTGTAAAGTGCTGTGTGACCTGCAAAACAAAAAAAGTATCAAAACAAAAAAAGTGACAAAGCAAAATCCGGGCAGACTCGATGGACCATTTGATCGTTTTTTTTTCTGCTGTCAGTTTTCTCTATGTAACTGTTGGCGCAATATAAATCCTGTATGATCATTTATACAGCACCATCGGTTAGCACATCGCTTTACAATCTACACAATCAGTACAATGAAATACAAGAGGGGCCTTGCTCAGAAGAGCTTACAATCTAATAGGGTGCTGTCACGCCCTGTGGTTTTTGTTCTGCTCTAACCTTCCATAAGAAAAGTCCAGTCAGTATGTTTAGTGCTGAGTCTTCCGGACCCAAAATATAAACATGTCTGTGCTAGACATTCCAGGTCCATTCCCACCATTGTCCTGAGGTAACATTTACCGCCAAAATGCTTATGTTCCCCAATGTATTGCGCCTTCTGCGCTGTGATCAGAAGACAACTGTCCCGTTTGTGTGTTTCAGCCCCTTCATCGTCGGTGGGGTGTATGAACGTATGACTATGATGTGGTGTTTTAGGGTTCATTCACTTTAGGGTGCATAGAACGTAAATTCCGGCTGGATGCGATGTACAGCTAGCTATGGAAGTTTGTGGCTGCACACACAAATATACACACACTCACTCTTACCTAAACACGTCTGCGTACAGATGTATAACTGGAGGGAAATTTCTGCTTCCAGAGCTATACACCCACGTGATTGTGCCAGTACTTGAAAATCTTTATTATTACAGGTACGTATGTAGCGCCACTAATTTATGGAGCACTTTACATACCGTATTTTTCACTCCATGAGATGCACATGACCATAAGACGCACCTAGATTTTAGAGGAGGGAAACAAGAAAAAAAAATATTCTGAACCAATGGACTGCAGACATAGTACAGGAGATGGCCGGGAGGCTGCGCACAGGCTACAGGAGATGGCCGGGAGGCTGCGCACAGGCTACAGGAGATGGCCGGGAGGCTGCGCACAGGCTACAGGAGATGGCCGGGAGGCTGCGCACAGGCTACAGGGGATGGCCGGGAGGCTGCGCACAGGCTACAGGGGATGGCCGGGAGGCTGCGCACAGGCTACAGGGGATGGCCGGGAGGCTGCGCACAGGCTACAGGGGATGGCCGGGAGGCTGCGCACAGGCTACAGGGGATGGCCGGGAGGCTGCGCACAGGCTACAGGGGATGGCCGGGAGGCTGCGCACAGGCTACAGGGGATGGCCGGGAGGCTGCGCACAGGCTACAGGGGATGGCCGGGAGGCTGCGCACAGGCTACAGGGGATGGCCGGGAGGCTGCGCACAACACAGGATGTCCGGAGACTGCAGACCTTTGGGGAGCGGGGTGACCATGTCCGCGGAGTTGTCCTCCCTGTAGTCTAGTGGGACATATGGCAGGTCCCAGAAGACTACAGGTGGCTATTCACAATGCGCAGCGAGCACCCAGCTGTGAAGCCACAAGCTGCCACAGCCGGGTGCCCACACTGAAGATGCCGGAGAAAGCAGGACACCGCTGGACCGAGGAACAGGTAGGACCAAGACCAAGGAGCAGGTTCTTCTGCACAGTAGAGCAGAGTGGCTGTCCCGGTATTCTAACACGGCGGTGGGAATACTGGGCTGGCCACTCCATATTCACTCCATAAGACGCACAGACATTTTCCCCCATTTTTGGGGGGGAGAAAAGTGTCTTATGGCGCGAAAAATACAATATATTGTGCATTCACATCAGCCCCTGCCCTCAAGGAGTGTAGAAACTAAGGTCTCTAAGGCAGGCCATAGATGATGCAATTTTTTTTTTTCCTGCAACCATGCTCAATTCCCCCATCAAAACAGTTGATGGGGGGGAATACCTCCCAGAGAGTTATTGTGTTCTCCTCGTAGGGGAGAGCTTGGATTGACTTGGGTACAGTCAGCCTGCCCATTCATGGAGTAAGGCCCCTTTCACACATGCATTCCGTTTTTTTTTCCAAGCATACCATGTTGCACCCTATTGTCCGCAATTACAGCGGTCATATCGGTGCGGTTCTGATTGGGTTGGAGCCGCACTGATTTCTAAAGTATTGCGTGCACTACTTTTGGTGCGAGTTGCATAGACATCTGTGTCAGGTGTCTTGTAAATTACAACTGAAATCGGTAAGTCACCCGACTTTGAAATCGTGCAGCTTCACTGTAAGTCGCACGATTTCAAAGTTGGATTTGATGTGACTGGGGTGTTGATCTCAGCCGGTCTGTGCTGAACTGGCCAAGATTTGAACCATTTCTGGCTCTAACTTACATTCATGCATACACATCATGCTAGGATTCATTTCTAATTGAGACAGAAGACTACTAAAGGCCCAATCCTGCAACAACCCCCCCACCTTAAAGTGACTGTAAAGGCTCAAGGTTTTTTCCCTTCATGCATTCTATGAATGAAGGTAAAACCTTCCGTGTTTATCAGCCCCCTTAATACTTACCTGAGCTCCAACGGGAGACAGCGATGTGCATGAGAACCTCAGCTCTGCAGAAAACTCTCATATTGGCTGAGACAGCAGTGAGAGCCATTGGCTCCTGCTGCTGTCGATCACAGCCAGTAAGCCAATAAGGATGCAGAGCGGGCCAGCTTGGGTTCCCCCATAGCCAGCTGCTTGCACTTGGGGTAGGAGGGAGGGGGCGGGTGTGCCAGCATGGTATCTAAGAAGAGGAGAATCAGGATTGCTCTGTGCAAAAGTACTGAATAAAGTAACCACCTGTGTGCATCAGCCCCCCCTAATACTTATCTGAGCCCCATCGGGAGACAACACTGTGCGCAGGAACTCCCTCATATTGGCTGAGACGGCAGAGAGCCATTGACTCCTGCTGCTGTCAATCACAGCCAGTGAGCCAATGAGGAGAAGGCCGTGCTGCAGCTCTGTGTGTGAATGGACAAGCAGAGCAGCGGTGAGGCTGCTTGGGTGTCCCCATAGCAAGTGCTTGCTCTGGAGGCAGGAGAGAGGGGCCAGGAGTGTTGACAGGGGAACCAAAAAGAGGAGGATCAGCTTGCTCTGTGCAAAACCACTGAATAGAGCGGGTAAGTACATTTTTTTTCTTTATGGAGAGAAGCAGTTGACAACAGCATGGCTCGAGATTGGGCTTGTGTATTTGGGGAGTGAGGGGGCAATACTTAAAAAAAAAAAAAAAAAAAAAAAAAAAAAAAAAAAAGCAAAGCTTTAGTGTCACTTTTTCCAAAAATAACAAATATGCCTATACTTAACTGCTCTGTGCAGTGCTTTTGCAAAGAGCAGCCCCGATCTTTTGTTTTTTGGGTCCCTGCCAGTGCCTTAAGCCTTCACTTCGGCAGGCAGTTGCACTATGATGTCATCATGTGATCGACAGCAGCCGCAGCCAATGGGCTCCTGCTTCTGTCAATGAGGATGAATAGTCCCCAGACAGCAGAGACTGTCGAATGTCGCTGGATCGGAGGGGGTTTGGGTAAGGATTGTAGGGGCGGCACTGCACACCCTCATGCAGACAGCGATGCCACGTCTTGGCAGGCAGGTGCTATGTTCACAAATAACTTTGAAACCATAGGCTTAATTCATTAAAGCAGAGCTCCACCCAAAAGGGGAAGTTCCACTTTACGGACTGCTCCCCATTAAGGATTGGCACCTTTGGGGGGCGGGGGGAGTAGGTGCGGGAATTTGACAGGTACCTGCTCCCACTTCCGGTCCGATCACCTAGGCAATCGGAAACAGAAGGTGTCTCCCTCCCTGTAGTCTTTTGGGACACATGACAGGTCCCAGAAGACTACAGGACCATTTATGCAGCGCTACTCACTCATGCACAGTAGATACCTGGCTGTGAAGCCACAAGCTATCACAGTCAGGTGCCCACACGGAAGATGCCGGCCTCCTGAAATGCAGGACGGCCAGTAAAACGGGCTGCGGGGACACACCGAGGGACAGGTAAGTGGCTGTTTTTTAAGTCAGCAGCTACAGTTTTTGTAGCTGCTGACTTTTATTTTTTGACAGGGTGAGTGGAACTCTGCTTTAAGCTATAATTGTTTGCCATAAAGGCCTTTATTTTCAGCAATGATAGCCAATAAAAGTTGCTGTCTAGAATCTTAATGTAGTACTTTTAGGTCCGATTCACACTGGAATGCTGTGCGGGAAAGGAGCATTCTGTGTGTGTTTATCTCACTGTTTGGGAGATGTGCACAAGTACCATTAATTGTTAATGACACCCCAAACGTAGATTTGGCAGCCCATTGAAATGAATGGTCTGTCAAACCTGAAACACATGAATGAGTGCGTTCTTGTGTGAATTGGCCCTTGCACCTCTGCAGTTAAACATCTAAGGATTGTGCAGGTTTATATTTTATCATGTGGCATCTACTCAAGTTAACCAGTTTTAATTTTCTTTAACAGGCTGTTACTAGTGTTTTACACAACTACAAATATGAAGTGTGGATATAAATCCCCAACAAAGTTGTCACCTTCAAAATCCAGGCACAACTCCAGTCCAACCAAGCAGCATGACTGTAGTCCAACCAAGCATGAGCAAGAACCTTGCAAAGAATATGGATCTCCTCAAAAACCTGACTGCTTGGAAACAAATATTGAGCACTTGTCTCCAACAAGGGTGGACAGCTCTAAACAAGACAGACCAGTCAACAACAAAGAAAACTTGTTAAGCAGACTTGAAGCAGCTGAAGTGAATGATGTAGATTGTAGTCCTTTACAGGACAGTGGCTATGCTTCAATACTGCACAATGACTCCCAAAGCCAAGATGAGGAGGATGAGTTCAGCAGCTCATGTCTTCCATCATTCGAAACGCCAAAGCAGCTTAGCCTGCAGAGTGAGAAACCTGCATCAGTGTTCACAAGCATGTTGCCAGCGCTGCGTTTTGAGGAAGCCGTTTGTTCTACCTTGAAGAAAAGCTGTAAGAGAAGTCCCAGGTTTGATTGGGACGCTATTGAAGAAGTCGCCTCCAGGGAAGCCTATGGTCTTGATAAGCTGATTGGCAAAAAGATGGGTTTGGAAAGACTGGATATCCTTGGTGAACTTTTCAAAAGAGATTTCAAGCATCTCCTCAGCAAAATTTTGAAGCATCTTAGTGCAATTGATTTAATAAAGTGAGTTTGTCGGTTTTTCTAATAGTGGCCAGCATATTATTAGGACCAAAAGTCATCGTTTCAAACCATCCCTCATTGTTGCTTGTGCAACCTGGTAGTTTTACACCAGTATTTCTGATTTTTGCATAGGTTACATTTGAAAAACCTTTTGTATATATGTTGTATGTAACTAAAAGATTTGCAAGTCTGTTAACCACTTTATGTCCGGACACTTTCACTCCCTGTCCAGGCAAATTTTCAGCTTTCAGTGCTGTCACACTTTGAATGACAGTTGCGCGGTCATACAACACTGTACCCATATGAATTTTTTAGTATTTTTGTAAACCAATAACTTTATTTTGGTGGTATTTATTCACCACTGGGATTTTAATTTTTTTTGCTATATAAATGAAAAAGTCCAAACATTTTGAAAGTGTTTTTCTTAAAATTTTGCAAATAAATAATTTTTCTTCATAAATGTATTCAGTTATCTTTTTAGTAAAAAAAAAAAAAACGAACTCAAATCGTTCGTTTATAACCAAAATTTATAATTTTTTCAATTTTTTTTTTTTTTTTTTTTAATTTATTTTAATTTTTTTTAAACATACTGTCACCCTAGCAAAGTGTCACCATGGTGCCACTGTACTACTTGGGTGTGATAAAGATTTTTTTTTTTTTTATTTTTTACACGGATTGCTTTTACACCCATAAAAGCTGTAAAAGCAATCTGTTCTCTCTGGCTGCATCCTTGCAGCCATTGAGAAATCCTGTGAGAGCTGTGATTGGTCACAGCTTGTCACATGGTACAAGGCTGTTGGAAATAGCCTTGTACCATGTGACCTGTGATCATTCACAGATTTCACAAGTAGTAAGCAATGTCAGAAGTAACCTCTTGTTTCCTACTATTCATGTGATCACATGAATCAGGACCTCACACAGAGGTCCTGTACAGCGATCGGTGTTCCGTTGTGTCCGGAGGACACAGGCACCGAATCGCGGTGCCGCACGCTCCCAGGGAGCGCACACAGGCTGTGAATGCCGGCTCCGTTTAGAAATGACAACCCGCTCCTGTCCGGCCATTTATGTACATGAGCCGGACGGGAAGCGGTTAATCCAGTTATATAATTGTGTACTCGTGCAGCATTGTGCAGTCCAGCAAGGGGCTGTCCTACTCCCTGGTTCTTTGGCATAGTTTACGCTCTGCCATAGGGTCTGGCAACATTTTATGTTTTGAGGCTCTCTGGGTACTTCAATGTACATTAACACATCATCTGATTACAGCTGACAGAACATGGCTTAGTTTTAAATGCCCAGTCACACTAACATTGCTAGGAATTTATCACGGAGTTGTGACATAGATGTGACAAAGGGTTCTCTGTGGTTTGATCTACACAAACCACATGCAGTGGTGATTGATCACGCAATGCTCCAATGTGTGTGTTGGTGTGAGAGGTTAACTGCTACCTGTGTAGATGAAAATACAGAAAGCAATTTGTGGCATTTGCTGCCGCTAGCAATTTTATCACGATTGTACTTCAGAATGGTCAGAGATAGATATATTATAAATTTTTTTTTGAGCAATATAGACATTGTTTAAAAATGTATTGTTTTGTATTTGTCATTGTGGTTCCCTAACCTTATTGATCTTTCCTCTTAGTGTAATCTGTGTGAGCTCAACATGGAGGAAGATCCTGCAGAGGGATAGCTGGGCTTACAGCATTTATCACAAGTGCCACAAAGAAATATGTGTAAGTTTTTCCACTCTTAGACTTGGGCTGAATTGTGGGATTTAAAAAAGAGAAAAAAAAAAACCCTTGCAGTGGAGGGCACCCTCACTGCAGGAGTTACGTACTCATTCAGTCTAGGGGTAGAGTTATAACTGTAATCGTTTTTTTCCTGCCTGGCCCTTGCGTACAATACAGAACTACTGGTCTTGCTTTGTATGTGACGACTATCTGCCAAAGTGAAGGCTTCAGGTAACTGGTAAATATTACCTTATTTCTGTACCCCTAGACGTATCAAGCATTTAACCCCACTGCAAGAGTAGGTTTTCTGCTGCCTAGAGTGGGGCTTAAACTGTTTGATGACATTCCAGGTTCATCTGATTTGCAAAGTGCATTATTTTTTTTTTCTCTTTTTTGCAGTTCGCTGCTATATAAGCAACAAAGTGCTGACAGCTAGAAAATGTGTCTTGTTTCAAATTTGAGTTGATATTCAATCATTTATTTTGTCTCAAACAGGAAAAAGAAGCAAGGAAAGAGGAACATACTGCAACACGTGATTCTTCATTGTTCCGGGTACCACTTGCCTCTGTTCAGAAAGTAGCCAGTGCTGCGTGTTGTATTTCGAAGAAAAAATGTTATAAAAAGAATTCATCAGCCCCACATAGTCGACACACTGAGTTTAATGAGGTAAGCCTGCCAGGGTGGAGGGAATACGTTGACCTATGTGAACTGTGTTTTTGGTTTTCCTTTCCTTTTCTTGCTTACTGTAACTTATAGCATTTCATAGCCTAGTGCTGTTCTGAGTACAAGTAAAAATGACTAGTTACCTGAAATTTCTGTTCAACTTAAAGGATAATAAACACAAATTAACTTATTGCAGCTTGGCAGTCCTTGGATGTGATTGCTGTGGCAGTTTTCCTTTTTTCAGACTTTTTTTTTTTTTTTTATTCCTTTTCACCTGGTTATTCTGCCAGTAATACAATTCTGTTTTAGCGTGACAATGCTCACTTGTAGCAGAAGACTGAAATAACCTTCTCTGGTCCATAGTATTTCATAGAAGTGTTCTGTAGTTTTCAGGCAGCTGCAGGGGTGTATGTACCACAAGGCACTTGCCTAGGGTGGCATTTTTCAGGGGGACAGCACCTTCCACCAGAAGAAGGGATAAAAGAAGGGACACATGCGCCATGGGATGGGATTCAAGAGACTGTGGGCTGCTTGATGGTGTATGTAGAACCGGACTCGGGAAGATGAGTGGGGGGTGGGGAGGAGGTTAGTCGAAGCCTCTTCCGGGTGGGTGCAGGGGTGTTGTTAATCAATGTCAGACTCTGTCTGCGGGAGGGGGGGTGGTGTTGGTCGGTGTCCGTGGGGGCGGTGTTGGTCGGTGTCCGTGGGGGCAGACAATTTTTGTGTTCTAGGGCAGCACAAAGCCTAAATAAATCACTGGGTAGCTGGGAACAATGTAACTATTAAGATTGCAGTAAAGGAATTTATAGCTTTCTGGAAGAATCAACTTTTTTTTTTTTTTTTATGTATATTCCTTCAAATTTCACTACCTCCAAGTGTCTGTCAAGACATCTTTGGCATAAATAACAAAAACAAGCGTGCGTCACTGCTACAGCTACCCTGATAAGCATTGATTGAAGTAATTTGCACATGTAAATGTATAATCATGTTTGATAATTGACAACCTTATTATTTGTGACATGTAAAAGTACATTTAACAAGTGTGCCTGTTTTTATGTTAATGTGGAGTTCAATGCTGACCACATAAAAATTGTTCTGGAAGCATTTTTATGGTAGTCACATAAACCTATCCACATCCTGGATGCCACTGAATTTTGCTGTATATTTTCTGAAAATATGTAGCTAATAACTTTTTAGCCCCCATTTAAGATAATGGTGTTTTTTACATTACAAACATATTGACATTTTTCTTTTAATTTAACAGGTTGGGAAAACACTAAATAATGACCAAAGCCTTAAAATTTGTAGAGACTGTGGTTCTCCCGCCAAATATGATTCCTACCTACACAGAGCAATCTGCACCCGGGCAAGCTGTCAGTTGGACTTTTGCACACTTTGCAACTGTGAATATCACTTTTCCAAAGACTGCATGATCAGTGTAACTCGAAATCATAAATACTTGTCACAACCTCTTCCTGGAAGTAAAAAGAGCAAGCAAAACTTGAGAAGGCTTTAAACCATACAGAGACTATTTCCTAACAGCAAAAAAAGCAAACCACTTGTTGACTTTTTTTTTTTGGATTTTATTTATTTTCATCTTCTAAGTGATGCCAAGGGTGCTGGCTGTTCACTTGTCCCGCACAATGCAGATTTAAATAAGATTTTAAGTGTAAGTGTTGGAGAGACTTTTATAAAGTTTGTTTTATAGGAAAACATTTTGATCGTTTTTAGAAATTGCATTGGTAGTCGTTTGTGTACGTATAGCCCAAACATTTCTGAATTTTGTATAAAGTGGGGAAGGGTTAAAACCCCGACACATCGTTCTCCTCCTATTTGGGAAATTCTTCTTGCTTCCTGTCCCAAAGACACAACTGGAAGTTAGAGGAAACCTCTTAAAATGTGAAGAATATCCTTGGTCAGTTACTTGGAACAGTTGACCCAATTAGGAAATATCCCCTTGCCTCTTGTTCTTGGAACAGTCTTAACATATTGATTTACCCTTTTCTTTCTTGGCAACAATGACCACCATACTAACAGTCTTCCCAATGGGGCCACATCATTAAAAACTAACCCTTTCCCCCTCTATCTGAAACAAAGGTTTTACTTAAAGTTAGACTTTAAGTTTAGCTGTGAGCTAAAAACTTCACTTTTTTTTTTTTTTTTTTTTTTTTAGACCTTTTTAGTTGTGATTTTACACATTGAATCTGCCAGAATTTTTAGCTGGCCGCTCCCTCTGTGGAGTTGGGCTTTTTTTTTTTTTTTGCTACTTTAAGCTTCCTCTCCAAGTACTTTTTATCGGTTTCTAGCTTCTGCCCCAGTAAAAAATGTCATTTTATTATATGTTTAGTTTATAAGTTCAACTGCAATGACACATTATTGGAATTTAAAAAAAAAAATGCACATTTTAAGGTTTTGCTCTTGAGGATTTTTTTTGCAAAACAATCCAGTGCTGTAAATACTGTAAATATTTTCTAAATGTATGTCCCTGTTTTTTTTTGTCATGTTTGAATTTACGTGTGCAGTATTTATTTTTGCACTATATGAAATAAATTATTACAAATTTAACAGTATTGTGCCTATAGTTTCCTAAAATTGTTCCAACTGCTTTTTTTTTTTTTTAACCACTTCAATACTGGGCACTTTTACCCCCTTCATGCCCAGGCCAATTTTCAGGTTTCAGTGTTCTCACTCTTTGACAATTGCATGGCCGTGCAACACCGTACCTAAAGTAAATTTTTAGCATTTTGTTCACACAACTAGAACTTTCTTTTGGTGATATTTAATTACCACTGGGGATTTTATTTTTTTTGCTAAAATAACAAAAAAGTCTGCAAACTTACAACAAAGAAAAACAAAACACGTTTTTCTTTGTTGTAAGTTTGCAAATAATTCATAAATTTACGCCAAGATATATTCTGCTTCATTTCTTTGAAAATAACCCAAATCCGTATTTATTATTTAGTCTGTAGGAAAGTTAGAGTTCTCAAACTATTTGTTATATCTGAAAATTGATCAATCCTGAAGTACTGACAGCCAATCTGGTTTCTTGAGGCTCAAAAATGTTAGAACGGTACAGATATCCCCAAATGACCCCTTTTTTGCAAAGTAGACAGTCCAATGTATTTCATAAGAGGTGAGTTTTTTTTCAAGTTTTAATTTTTTGGAAAATGAAGAAATTAAAAAAATCTTTTTTTTTTTTTTTTTTTTTTTTTTTTTTAACTAGTGCAGTACAGCGTCATCATATAACTGGCGTGGCAGAGGTCACAGACACTGACTGGTGACAGTACGAATTATTTTTTTTATTACATTTTTTTTTATAAATATATTACACTGCCCAAAATAGTATGTTACCATAGTGACATTGTACTACTTTGGGGAAGTGGTTTTTTTTTTTTTTTTTTGCATAATTTGCTTATAGCAAAGAATTTCTTTGCTATAAGAAAGCATTTAACTGAATGAATTCGATTCATTCAGGTTTTTTTTTTGTTGTGATTAGCTGTGATTGGCCACGGCTAATCATATGACACGGGCTGTGATTGGCCCAGCCTGTGCTTGTGATTGCTGTGACCACAGCTAGACACACTTGTATACAGTGGATGGCATGAAAGGAAGCCCTCCATTTGTATACAACTGTCATGTGGCCTGCTGTGATTGGTCACACAGCTCTGTGAGGATGACCGCGAGACAGCTGGGGGAAGAAAAGGCTCTTAACCTCCCTGGCGGTATTCCCGAGTGTAGCTCGGAGCAAAGTTTCAGTACCACAAGCAGTAACCCCGAGCTACACTCAGGAATACCCTGCAGCACTTACCTTGTCCTTCGCTCCCGCGATGTCCCTCCTGCAGCATCTCCGGCAATGTCCTCCGGCGGCTGCGGCATCTGTGTTCTGGGTTCCGTTCCCAGCGACGTCCGGACGTACGGGGGGACGGAACGGCGGGAAATTAAAAAATGTGAAAAAGTGAGATTCACTAACGACACTAAAATCACATAGTAAAATATTACTGTATCAAAGCATTTCACATACATTTTGTTCCTCTGGAGGGCAAGTGGTTAATATCACTTTATGCTTTTTTGAGAAAGTGTTTGCTGTGGATTGTGTATATTTATAGTAGAGAAACCATTCTCCCTCCAGTAGCTTCTATAGATACCCATGTATGTACATGGAGGGTGTGGGAGGAAGCGCTGAGCCCTCTGGGGTTGGTTTCTTGGTCAACCCTAAAGGGAACCTGTACTGTGGAAGCTTGCCCAAAACAGACAAACAGATGGCAAAGGACTAATCCCCACTATTGTCTGTATCCTCCACGGAGCTGAGCTCTTCTCTGTTACTGACTTCCTATGCCTGGCTCTGTACTGTGCCTCTGGGGAGTAGTCCATCTTGGTAGAGGGGTGGAGCCTTGCTTCCTCATGTCAGAGCTCCTCCCCTGATTACTTGGGAGGTAATGGTCTAGGAACAGCAGGAAACATGGATCTAAGGTCCCTAACTCACATTCATACACACACATACTAGGACCAATTTAGACAGGAGCCAATTAACCTACCAACATGTCTTTGGAGCGTGGGAGGAAACCAGAGTACCTGGAGAAAACCCACGCAGGCACACGGAGAACAAGTAAACATGCATTTAGCCACTGTGCTGCCCATGCAAGTTATATGCAAGTTATTTGCCATAAAAGGGGTATGGGGACTCGGGTACTGCCCTGAGGGACATGAATCAGGAAAGAAAAGCATTATAAAAAGTACAATTTTTAAAGCGGCAGTCATTTTAAATTGCTTAAAGTAAAAAAAAAATTGATAAATTCCTTTAACCACTTGCCTACCAGCCAGTTATACCCCCTTCCTGCCCAGGCCAATTTTCAGCTTTGAGCGTTGTCACACTTTGAATGACAATTGCACTGTCATGCAACACTGTACCCATACGATATTTTTATCACTTTTTTGAGACAGAGCTTTCTTTTGGTGGTATTTAATCACCTCTGGGTTTTTTATTTTTGCTAAACGAACCAAAAACAACTGAAAATTTTGAAGAAAAAAAAGTTTTTGCTTAGTTTTTGTTATAAAATTTTGTAAATAAGTGATTTTTCTCCTTAACTGATGTGCGCTAATGAGGCTGCAGTGATGGGCACTGATAGGCTGCACTGATAGGTGGCACTGGTAGGTGGCACTCATGGGCATTGAGAGGCATCACAGATGGGCACTGAAAGGCGGCACTGACTGGCACTGATAGGTGACACTGAAAGGCAGCTCAGATGGGCACTGATATGTGGCATTGATGTGCACTGGTAGGCACTGATATGTGGCATTGATGGGCACTGGCAGGTGGCACTGCTGGGGCTACACTGATCATCAGGGCACACTGATCATCAGTACCCTGATGATCAGTGTACATGTCCTCTCTGTGGAATGCCGATTACCGGCTCTCCTCTCCTCACGAGCTGTCAGCGTGACAACTTGTGAGGAGAGAAATGCTGATAACCGGCATTTCCCTATTTACTTGCGATCAGCTGTGATTGGACACAGCTGATAACATGACCGAGCCAATGTTTTTGGCTCTTTCCGTTGATCGGTGATCCGTTGTGTCCGAGGGACACAGCGCACCACCGATTGCCGCGCTGCGCGGTTAGAGTGGGAGAATGTCATATCTTCCAGAACGAGAGATTCGCCTTGCACCCGTCATTTCCTTTTATCTCGGGTGGGAGGCGGTTAAATATCATACCTGGGGGTTCCCCTTAAACTACCTGCAAAGTTGCACATCTGTGCAATGTAAAGAATCTGCTGCAGCAGGACTGACATTTAAAAAAAATTACATTTTTATATAAAAAACAAAACACAACAAAAAAAAACAAAACCGCATGGGGTCCCTCCTCCTAATCTACCCTTTAGGTCTGCTAGGAAGGTTAGGAGGGAGCCCACAGTAAAAGTTTTTTATTTAAAGTGTGTGGGGTTCCCTCTAAAGGCCATACCAGACCCTTTAGGCCTAGTAAGACTTTTAAGGAGAAGCCCACCTCCAAAAATTAAGGGGGGGTGCATTAGGTTCCCCTAAAAGCCATACCAGACTCTTTAGGCCTGGTAAGACCTTTAAGGGGAACCCCACCTCCACAGAATGGGGGGGGCATGGGGGTCCTCCCTAAATTCCTACCAGACCCCTGATCCGACCATAGGCCTGGCAGGCCAGAAAAAGGGGGGGGACGAACGAGTGCCCCCCCTCCCTGGGTCTTACCAGGCCTTGTGTCCATGGCACAGGACGGTGTCCCCATGCCGATGAGGACAAGGGCCTCTTCCCCACAACCCTGGCTAGGCAGTTGTGGGGGTCTGCAGGCAGGGGGGCTCATTAGCATCAGGGTGCAACTTTAAATAATGAGGCACCCTGATGCTGCCCCCCCCCCTTGTGAATGAGTAAGGGGTACTTGTACCTCTACCCATTCACTAAAGGGTTAACGGTGTGAAAAGATAGAGACCAGACTTTTGAATAAATCCTTTATTGAACAAAAAAAAAAAGAGTTTTTGACAAGTTCTTTATGGGAAAAAAAATGGTTCCAGCGTTGTAATCCATCTTCAGTTGCCGCGTCCAGCGTTATCACGCTGCCGCCCGCCTTGCTGAAATAAAAAACCTGCCAAGAACTCGCCGCTATCTAACATTTGAGAGTCAAGAGGTAAACAATTGGGCGGAGCTAGTGGTGATGTCACCGCTAGCTCCAGCCAATTGTGTACGTCTGACTGGAAACTGTCAGAACTGTCATCCACAATTGGGCAAAGCTATCTATGACATCACCGCTAGCTGAGACTTTGGCCAATCATGGCTTTTATTGTGAACTCAGCTGTGATTGGTCAAAGTATTGCACCTGACCTGTTGTCAGGTGCAATGCTTTAGCCAATTACAATGCGCCGCCAGAGCGCATTGCATTGTGGGGCATGTGGGTGAACGGCCCAGATGTTTGTGTGTTTAGCAAACACACAGCCAATGTTCGACATATAGACCATCCCTAATATACAGCTAAAAGGCTGGAGGTACCACAGAAAGTGCCTCTTTTTTTTTGTTTTAGGAGGAATTGGGGGGACGGACTTTGGCTATTGGGAGTAGAAAAGGTCCTGATGTGAGTGGGAATAGACAATGCACCATGGTGTTGTCAGAGAAAGAAATAGCACCCCATCGTTGGTGTAATTGGGAGGAATTGTGACCAATCGTTGGTGTCATTGGGAGGAATTGTGACCCCCATTGTTGGTGTCATTGGGCCCCATTACTGGTGTCATTGGGAGGAATTGTGACCCATTGTTGGTGTCATTGGGCCCCATTACTGGTGTCATTGGGAGGAATTGTGACCCGTCGTTGGTGTCATTGGGCATAATTACTGGTGTAATTGGGAGGAAATGTGCCCCTTCATTGGTGCAAGGGGGGGGGGGGGGGGGAATTATGTCCCTTTCTTGCTATCAGTGGATGAAATAGTGCCCCAAGGGCTGGACAAGGGGCTGCAGTTTGGAGACCACTGCTGTAGAAGATGGAAAACCTTCCCTTCCTGAGATCAGTTCCACTGTAAAAGAATGAGGTGTGTCACCAGATTCCATATTTCCTTTCAATCCAAACAGCTGAATCTCTATGCCTGGAGGAGAAAAGACATGACAATGTATGGGGGTCAAGGTCATCACTCAGAGACAAGTCTACACCCCCCACAGGGGACTGGGGTGGAAGGGGAGGAGCCAGTGCCCCCCCACCATCTATACACACGCGCCTTACTTCTCACCATATACACTGTACTCCATACCAATCCCGGGATCTTTTCATCCATCCTCCCCTCCCCTCCCCCATCACACCACCCACCACAATGACCCCCCCATTCTGTATCTACAGTATGGGGGGCTCATAGGGAACCCCGGAAACCATCCTACCCCATGTTTTCCACTGCACCCAATAGGCCCCCCTGTGGTCCTTATATACTCGCCTATACCCCACAGCACACTCCATGTACCGCAGTACACTCTCCATTGTCCCCATACACTTTCATATACATAATAGCACACCCCATATGTTTCCTATATACTCTTCTACATCACAACGCACTCCAAGTGTCCCCCATACACTCTCCTATACTCCACAACACTCCATGCGACCCCCATAAACTCTCCTATAACCGATAATGCAACAAATGAGTCCCCCATACATTCTTCATAATACATTCGATGTGTCCCGCATACACTCTCCTGTACCCCATAACACACTCCATGTGCCCCAAAACACTCTCCATAACACACTACATGCATCCCACATACACTGTCCTATATCCTATAAAGCACTCCATGCACCCCCCCCCCCCACACAGTCTCTTATACCCCATAACACACTCCATGTGTCCCCATACACTCTCCTATACCCTGTAACGCACTCCATGGGGTCACTTGGAGTGTTTTGGGGTATAGGAGAGTGTATGGGGGACACTTGGAGTGCGTTGTGATGTAGAAGAGTGTATAGGAAACATATGGGGTGTTCTATGGTGTATATGAAAGGGTATGGGGACACATTGAGAGTGTACGGGGATACAGTCACTCACCTGTCCCTCGATCCTGCGGTGTCCTCTCTGCAGCCCGTTTCACCAGCCTTCTGGTGTTCTCAGTTACAGCATCTTCAGTGTGGGAACCTGGCTGTGACAGCTTGCAGCTTCATAGTCGGGGTGCTCACTGTGCATGTGCGAGTAACACTGTGCCTTGTGAATGGTCCTGCAGTCTTTTGGGACCTGTCAGCTGAAGTGGGAGCGGGTACCTGCCAAATTCGGGTACCTGCTCCCCCCCCTGCAAAGGTGCCAACCTTTAATGGGGAGCGGGCACCAGTCTTTAATGTGGACCTTCCCCTTTTGGGTGCAGCTCCGTTTTACTATTTCAATAAATGTTTTCATAGCTGTCAATTTATTGGCCAGTTCCAACTTCACAATTGTGTGAATTCTGGTGGTCGATCAAACTCATAGTTCATTAGTTTCAGATGACTATTTGCGATCATATGTGCGATTCCTTTGTGGAAGGAAAGTGGATGAAATTCCCCAGAAATTGGCTTGTGTTTGGTCAACTTTCTTGATAGGGTAATCATACAAAATTGTAGTTTTCAATTTCTTCCACTAGATGGCAGTCTGATGACAGTGAACACGATATTCAGTACACTGTCATTGTTCTATGAGTACTCAGGGTTTCTTTCTAGCTAAGTTGTTTGCATGGGGGGGAGAGGGGGGGGGGATCATCATTATTGTGGATTGGGGGATCGACATTATTGAGGATGGGGGAGGGGGGGATCGGGGATGGGGGGGATCGACATTATTGAGGATGGGGGAGGGGGGGGATCGGAGGGGGGGGGATCGACATTATTGTGGATGGGGGGGGGGGAATTGACATTATTGAGGATGGGGGGGAATTGACGTTATTGTGGATGGGGGGGATCGACATATTGTGGATGGGGGGGGGATCGACATTATTGTGGATGGGGGGAATCGACATTATTGTGGATGGGGGGATCGACATTATTGTGGAAGGGGGGAATCAACATCATTGTGGATGGGGGGATCGACAACATTGTGGATGGGGGGGAATTGACATCATTGTGGATGGGGGGGATCAACATCATTGTGGATAAGGGGAGTCCACATCATTGTGAATGGGGGGCATCGACATCATTGTGGATGGGGGAATCGACATCATTGTGGATGGGGGGAATCGACATCATTGTGGTTGGGGGGATCGACATCATTGTGCATGGGGGGAATCGACATCATTGTGGATAAGGGGAGTCGACATCATGAATGGGGGGCATGAATGGGGGGGGAATCGACATCATTGTGGATGGGGGGAATCGACATCATTGTGGATGGGGGGAATCGACATCATTGTGGATGGGGGAATCGACATCATTGTGGATGGGGGGAAATCAACATTATCAAAATTAATCGGCATGGGGGGGGGGGTGTCGACATTACTGCGGATGGGAGGGGGGGAATCAACATTAATAGGGATCAGGGTGGGATTCGACATTATTGCAGATGGGGGGGAATCGACATTATAGATTGTAAGCTCCAAAGAGCAGGGCCCTTAATCCCCTCATGTTTTGCATTGTATTGGTATTGTTCTGTCACATGTTCTGTCCCCCTTTGTAATGTACAGCACTGAGTGAACTATTGGCGCTTTATAAATACTGTATAATAATAAATTGAGGGTGGGGGGGGATCGACATTATTGCGGATGGGTTGGAATTGACATTATTGCGGATGGGGGGGATCAACATTATTGTGAATGGGGGGGATTGACATTATTGCAGATGGAGGGGGGGAAATCAACATTATTGTGGATGGTGGGGGATCGACATTATTGCGGATGGGTTGGAATTGACATTATTGCGGATGGGGGGGATCGACATTATTGTGAATGGGGGGAATCAACATTATTGCGGATGGGGGGGAATCAACATTATTGCGGATGGGGGGGAATCAACATTATTGTGAATGGGGGGGGGATCGACATTATCAAATCTTTGTAGCACATTGCTGTTC